TTTTGTACGAGATGTTTAACTTGCTTCCTGATTTCCTGATACGCTTTAAAAGATTGTGTGATGATCTTCAGTGTTCCAGCTAAGCTTCAACCATAAATGTCAGCACATCTGGAATTATGTTTTTGGAATAAAGCCTCGTATGTGTTTCATCCACAAAACATTCTTAACCTGCAGGTGATAGACATTGGTCAAGCAAGATGTGCATAACCCTGAAAATTCTAGGCATGCACCGATGCATCGGTTAGTTGATTTTAAAATGTATTATTTTAATGCTCAGGCCACATGCATTGAAGCTTGCATGTAAGAATCAATTGTTTCGATTTTTGTAAATTACATGCAAATATATGCAAATGTTACAATCATGCTAACAGAGTGAATAGAACTGTTGGAATGGGACAAAAAAGATAATTAACAATACAAAATCAAACGGTAAAGATAAGGGCCAAGCAGAATTCTGGAACCAATAAAATTGTAACCACCGAGTAAAACCGCAATCGCCAAATCGTGACGGTCTGATCGCACCAACGAGGGGGGGACGCGTCCAAAGACGCCTGCTAAAATGCATGCTTGTCCTACAGCCGTGCATTGACAGTGGAAAGAGTGGAGAGTAAAGCAGTCATCGCCGTCAACTGTGTATTGTTAGTGCGAGAAACGTTCCCGCAACGAGAACTTTCCTCGGCGAAATTTCCGTGGCCACGACTTGTGACGTTAGCTCTGAATGTCAAGTGATCTCCTGGGCAGAAATCCCCATGGCTGAGACTGCACACAGAGAACCTTGGGTTGTCTCCTTTCAAATGTGCTGCAACTTAGGTTCCAAATTTAAACAACTGGTATTCGATGGCCAAGTGTTGTACTTTTTTGTTTGTTTTCGCGAACGGGTGTTGGCGAGAATATTTGCTAACCCCCACTCATAACCACCCGGTGCACATGTTCATAAAACACGTTGTATAAACACATCATTACCAAGTAGTAGTTCATTGCAAAAAACATCTACAATAAATAGTCGTGTTATTTTGAGAGCAATTTATTTTGTATTTCATTGAGCTTTTCTCGTGTTATTTGTGCAGTATCTTTGCGTAAAATTTACCCGTGCGTTCTACACGGTTTTGCATATCTACGTATACTTGGTCGCCCAACTATTTAACAGCTGTGGTAGCGATTTTAAATAGTTTGTTTTGCGTAATATTTATGAGGCTATGGAAGTAAAAAAAACGTTGTGAAGTGTGCATTGGCCAGTTGCCCCAGTGTATGATGCTTGACGTGACATATGTGCGTGGGTGGGGTGGGGGGGGAAAGGTTACATTTCTGGCCGCGAGTATGGAAAAGGGGTTTTTGTAAGACTGTGTGTGTGTTGTGAGAACGCAAGAGCTCTGATGGAGCTGAAACTCCCGGCGTTGCCGCATGTGTTAGCGCAGCGGGCGGCCGGCGAATGTGGCGGGCTGGCTGGTGCTGCATGATTGACCATTGGCGATGAGAAAAAAAATATAGAAATCCCTCGTGATCTAAGGACACACTGGCGATGCGTTGTGTGTGTCGAGAAATGAAATCGCCTTCATGGTAACCGGCGTGTTTTATTTTTCGCGTGCTGCCACAAAGGAATATTTTTTTTTATACGCATCGACTTTCTCGTTTAGACAAAGTGTCACATCTCTGTGTGGCTCCTTTGCCAATAATAATAAACTATTTTGTTGATTAAGAAGGGGGTCTTAGTTGAATGCATTTCTCCAAATAGTCAGCTGATTTGAAATGTTTTTTTTTTCCGGCAAACTTTAATGCACAGTGCTGCCAAGATGCCTTTGAGCCCCTCCAGCCCCCCGGCATACGAAACGCACTTCGACTCAAGTGACGGTCGTAAAAAGTAGGTCGTAAAACAGACAACTGCGCAAAATCCATGCGGAAAAGAATCTAAAGTATGGCATGCATCCGAGCCACGTGGTGTAAGAGCCCTTGAGGCCTATGTCTCCATCACTCTGGAGGTTGCTGTGCTCTGCAGAAGAGCGAGCAAGGCGCGGTTGGCTCCACTGAGGCTGTCTCAGCTCCTGCGGTGTTCCCACGTCGTTGATCTGGGCGCTTTTGAATACATTTCAAAAACGGTAGGAGCGGTCACCGGTCAGAGGGCAGAGACCCTTTTTTAACATGGATAGGCGTGACATTTTACGCAGGCCAAGCAAGGCTTTACAATTGCAAATCTGCTCTTGAGTAAACATGCGCCCATTCTAAGTGTCCACGGTGGTCAAGACAACTGCAGCTATGTGCCATGCACAATGTGCGATTATGTTTTCGTTCTTTAACCTTGGACAGAAACTAATGTGGGCAGGACAGATACGTTTTGTTGTGTTGTTAACGCTTCGTTAGGTTGCAGTGTAAAGTCAGCCACTGTTTAGTTTACGCCTTTGGTCACTCACAGGGTGGGGATTTCGTGAAGTGAAAAATGTGTTGCAGAGTGGTCGAGCAACGGTTAACGCACAGCCCCATTAACCCGATGACCTGAGTTCAATTCCTGGCCATATTGAACATGAGTGGCGAGTGATATACTAACCAGTTCAGAGCACCCCCCATATATCAACACGCGCTGAACCAGCATGGGTGAAATATGGTTAAAAAAATAACCCGATGACCAGGCGGTCGGCAACGTGCGACTCTTTAAGTACCGCCTCGTGAACGTTGTTTATTAAGGAGACCACCGTCTCGCATTCACGTTGCATTGCGGCTCTTGTTATCATGTTTGTCGACCCCTGCCAATGACCAACAAAGCTTGAGGGAGAGGTCTTCATCCAGCGGTCGACTAGCAAAGACCTCGGCAGTAATTTAGACGGTTAAGTAGTTATTCGTTGTTTGCGATTATAGCCAACGCAAACCACCGACGTGAATGCATTCCTGTGCAGTGTAAAAATATAAATAAGCAGACAATGTCTCCTTCGTATATATATCCATCCCTTCACCTAAAACGTAAAAGTAATGTTTACAAAACCCATCGGCTCCCACCGCCTTCTGGGGAGTTGCATCAATTCAGCAGCATTGATTCAGTTCAAGCAAACTCTGGACGGGTCTCTACACAGTGTTGTGCACGATCGTAAACATTTCCAAATGCATGAGCCTATGGAATGGGTCTTACTGAAACGTTATTTATACGCCTGCCAATGTGTAACTGAGTGGAAAGCGACTGTCTGAGTTTGTAACAAACGTCTCGCTTGTGGTAATGTTTATGTCGAGGCTTTTCCTTGTAATGCCGTGCGCCATGTAAACATTTCAACTCCACCGCACCTGTGGGAAATAAGCATAATTATGCATGGAGACAGATGTGCAATGGAAGGAGGAAGAAAATATAATGCCCCGAGCGAAATGAATTAAAAGCTTCGCATTTTTATTTCTCTTCCATTTTTTTAATTTTATTTGCCCTGTAGAACTTCAGCGAGTAGAAACACGTTTTCTTGTAGTAATGCATGCTTATTCTTAGCTCTTTCGGTAAAGTCACGTTGAAGGGAAACAATAAAATAATATATATAAAACAATAAAAATTCTCACGACGTTTCGACCATAACACAAACGGTCGTCATCAGGTGTGCCGATTTGCATTAATTTATTTATTAGCAAACGACGCATTTATTTATTTATTAGAAACGCCAGCGCCGCGCGCAGCGATTTGGCAGTTTATCTATGTTCTGAAAAGAGGAGGGGGGAGACGAATCCCCCCTCCTCTTTTCAGAACATAGATGGACTCGTCCTTCTAAATAAACTGCCAAATCGCTGCGCGTGGCGCTGACGTTTTTTTTTATAAATACACCGTTTTAAAATACATAAATTTATGCAAACCGACACACCTGATGACGACCGTTTGTGTTATGGTCGGAACGTCGTGATAATTTTTATTGTTTTATATATATTTTATTATTTTATTGTTTCCCTTCAACGTGACTTTACCGAAAGAGCTAAGAATATGAATTACTGCAGTCACGAAAGCTTTAAATCAAAATGTAATGCATGCTGTTGCATTGGGTGTTTCAGTATTTATCACATAAGTATATTCTTAGTATCCTTCTCTGCAATAGCTGTCCATCTGATTCTATTCATTCACAATCATTTTGGCTGTTACTTTATATAGGAAATAAAGTCAAATAACTTATGGAATTCACACTGTCTCTTTGGCAAGTAATACATCCGCAACTACAGTCCATAGATTCGATGAATCATCATAATTCTGGTTTGTGATTTTTGATTTGTTAATTCTTCGACTTTTGTCTTGTTTTTACAGTTTGCATACTACATTATCTTAAATATAATATTGCAAAAATGTGGATACTTTGTAAATAAGATTCTTGTTGACACAATTTGATTCATGTATCCTTAGCATAAGCATTGATATCAATCAATGCATTGTTACATGCTTTAATCAATGCATTGTTACATGCTTTAATCAATGCATTGTTACATGCTTTAATCAATGCATTGTTGTGTGCTTTAATCAATGCGTCATCATGTGCATTAATCAATGCATCTTCACATCCTTTAATCAATGCACCATTACACTTAAACGCGGAAGTGTTTGCAAAGAGTGCTGGGCATGTGCCCATATTTGTGTGCGTACATGTGTGGGCCTATTACCAAAATCACCTGGAATGCGCCGATTCTGTTAGATCTCAGAAGCAGGGTTGAGATGTGAGAGTCACTGGATGGGCGGACCACAATGCACTTCAGTTTTCTGCGGCCCACGTGAACAGCAGCCAGAGGGCAGTGCAGCATATTACTTTGTTGGACTATACTTTCTATGCTCCCGTGGCTTTGCTCCACACATTTGTTTATCGACGTGCGCTGATGAGCGTGGTTTAAATATAGGTCGACGACGGCGACCCACGCGGCGTGGGAAGGCCCGCTCTGGGTCTTGGTGTGCACGTGTGTGTGTGTAGTATGTGCAGTATGAACCTTAGGTAGCATGTCTTTGCAATGCGCCGTTGAAGCGAGGTTTAACTGGGAAGGTGCTGCGTGTGCCGTGTGTCTCGCAGGAGCTCTCGAGCTGTGGGTGGAACCGCAAGGAGAAGCACAGCCTGGCGCCCAACGTGGTAGCGTTCACTCGCCGCTTCAACCACGTGAGTGTCCCTCTCGCTCTCCCTCTCTCTTGCTCTCTGCCTTGCGTGCTTCTCCGTGCCAAATCCAGTGTCAGAGACCCTCTGTCTCTGTCTCCCTGCCAAACCCAGTGTCAGAGACCCACATGTCGAGATCATGGTTCTGTCTTTTTCATGACCAATCCAAGTTTCATGCAGATGATGGGGCTTTGAAGCGTCTATGAAGAACACATGCAACTTGAGTGAATGTTATGAATACAAAGTTCATTAAGGTCCACAGTGTGCAGTCACTTTTTTAAGTGGAATTATTTTTGTAAGTAATTGTGCATGTGGATAAGTAATTTCACGCATTGAACAGTATTTATGTTATGCATAAATATCGGAAATAGGAAAATGTAAGTTATTTTCTTTTGTTAGCCAATCATTAGAATCAGATGGCCTTGGAACATTTGTAGATTTCATACCAAAGATAGACATACATATATCACTTCGATAAATTTTTTGACCAACCTTTCCCAATCAATGACTGTAGTTTTCAGTTAGAACGTACTTCCAATATATTAGGTCATAAACATTCTCAGACTTGTGAAATAATTTTTCCCCCCCTTTAGTTTCCCCCCCCCCCCCCCATAAGGGATAATGTGAATTGATGCGCTGTTGTGTTTATTTTCTCCTGCATTTACACCGTTTTTCCTTTCAAATGTTCCATCCTGATTACGTTCGGCTCGACCGTCGGGGGCCCAACCAGTCATAGAGTAGACAGTGGGTCCAATGCGCAGTGACCAAAAAATAATATCACATCAAATGTCTAGACTCTGCTCCCTTGACATCACTAAAAAGAGGACACATATGTTAACAATCCATCATAGTAGTTTCATAGTTCTTTGGATATACAAAAACAGAACAGAAATGAGCATATGAATAAGTAGATGAATAAATACACAAGTATGTACACATATATATTCATTTTGGAGGGAGGGAATAGGAAAATAACACATTGCATTTACAACTCTTACAGTATCACTGAACAGAGTTTAATATTTAAACTACGTTTTCACTTGGCTTGTCGATGTGGGTGAGGAGAATGCCACACGTAATTGGGCTGCCCTGTGTTTTGTTAAATTGTATATATTTTCTAAAGGAGGTTTAACGGTCACCCATGTGGTGCTAATTCTCACTGTCCATTCCGGTAAGCCTGTGAGAAGGCCCAGTTCTGTTGAGCAGCATCAGCCCAAACGCATGCTGGGCAAGTGAAGAGCAGAATCATCGTATTTCTCTCACAGCCAAGTGTTTTACAATCCCAGCATGTAGTTTCAGTAGCTTTGGCATGGAAGGTATAATTACCTTGGAATGGTGCTTCAAGCTGTACATGCTGCTGCATAATAAAAAAGTTTTCATATCGTCGTAACAAAAAAAAAATTGCAACAATTTATGTACTACTTAAAATGTTTTATTGATTTTTTTTTGCATGTATGCAGCCCTGGGATAATAATTGAATGGTACAAAAATATGAAATTTGGCATACTTAACAACATGGTTTTCAGCTATGGTATTTGTGTTTTTAGCAAACAAGGCAAAGGCTTTTACAGCCGTGCTTATAGTATGGGCACAGGACTGTTTTTTGTGATAAAAAAAAAACACTTGCCTTTTTAAACGTTAGCGACGGGGCCTATACCATTTAGATGTACGTGCACTTGGGCACGTGGATTAGTCTTTTGAAAGTCTGGGAAATGTACCCAGTACTCGGTGGTTGCTGGCTCATTGTTCTCACATAGTGCGTACACTCTCTAAACCGCATCTCTCCAACCCGCACATCCAGTTAGCACGGTTGGCTACGTACGGTGCAAAAGAAGTTCAACATACATAGCCACACATTTTAAAGGAAAAAAAGTCAAATACTTACGAGACTGCCAGGTTCGCATTAAAGTGATTTGCTGCGTTAATGTGTTTTGAAGCATTACTCATCTCATGTTTATGGTCCTGAACCAGAGAAATATCAATAATTTTAACCGCTCTGATAACTACAGACTTAGTGCAGCCTGGAAGCGTATTATTAAGTAATACACAATACATACATTATTACATTTCCTTATAGAGGAATCACATACTAATTAACTGATTACTAATCTATTATATAATTACAATACCTCCCCCCCCCACCTCCGCCTCTGATCTCGAAACGTGATGGGTTTCAACGATGAAGGCGTCATCCTGCACTATTTAAGACCGGAAGCAGGTGGATGGCTTCACTATTCTGGCAAATCACCCGAAGATACTGGATGTCATTACCAGCGAAACGTCGTACACATATTCGAAATGCTGTGGATTCACTCTTCATACACCCCGGTGGGCTGAAGAAGTAACTTATTGGCGTTTTGTTAACGTGACGCATTTTTTACTGATTGGCCGTGGCGGGTGGTAGAGGGTTGCGACACATTTATACTTTCGCGATCTTACCCAAAAACCTTTATTATGAACTAGCTGTATTACCCGGCTTCGCCCGGGACTTGGATTCGCCACACCCGGCCGCCTTTGTCTCCCCAGTGGCGATGTTGACACACCACAGCAGTTACTCGTTTGAGGCTAAGTCGACCTAGGGGAGGCCCAGGACCGGTTAAAATAAGCGTCACCGGTGGTGGCCGTGAGCGGGAATCAAACTCGGGTTGCCGGGCTCGTAGCGCAGCGCGCTAACCGCTACACTACAATGCGTTACGCTTCCATACACACAGAAACACACACAGACACACAGACACACACAGACACACACACAGACACATACACAGACACATACACAGCGCGCTAACCGCTACACTACAATGCGTTACGCTTCCACGTGCGAGGGTCACGTGACAGAGTTGACGTCAGAGCTCACTTGCCGTGCAAAACATATATGCATTATTGAGCTCCCCCCCCCCCCCCAAAAAAATATACAAAAGTGTATTTTTAAAATGTTTGCATAGTGTACAGTCTGGAAAGTACCCACATGGCAAATTTCAAGTTTGTTGTATGACGGGAAGTACGCTAAACATTTTGAACAGACACATTCACAACTCTGCCTTTTATATATATGGAGATAATACTGGTCGCGAAAGCCTACGTGTTAAGCATACTGTGTCTAGTTGGGTTTTTTTTGTGGACACGTTTTACCTCGGCTTAAACGCTTGCACAAAATAAGCGGACAGATATATACAGTGAGGGGAAAAAAGCATTTGATCCCCTGCTGATTTTGTAAGTTTGCCCACTGACAAAGAAATGATCAGTCTATAATTTTAATGGAAGGTTTATTTGAATAGTGATAGACAGAATAACAACAACAAAATCCAGAAAAACACATGTCAAAAATGTTATAAATTTATTTGCATTTTAATGAGGGAAATAAGTATTTGACCCCTCTGCAAAACATGACTTAGTACTTGGTGGCAAAACCCTTGTTGGCAATCACAGAGGTCAGACGTTTCTTGTAGTTGGCCACCAGGTTTGCACACATCTCAGGAGGGATTTTGTCCCACTCCTCTTTGCAGATCTTCTCCAAGTCATTAAGGTTTCGAGGCTGACGTTAGGCGACTCGAACCTTCAGCTCCCTCCACAGATTTTCTATGCAGGCATTCACCTGTGGCTCGGACGTGTTCACGTCATCGGTTTCTGAAACGCGGCGAACCTCTTTAATTTCTCTTGGGACGCAGAGGCCAGGCAATGGATGCTATAACCACCCTATGCGTGATCGTGAATTGATGAACGTCTCCTTTTATTAATTGCAGTGCATTTAATTAAGAAAAAGGAAAAATTTGCAGAACTCAAATTTAATTGCTCCCGCCACTGCTGACGGAAAGGCCCCCACAAGAGCGAGCTGCGTTGGCTTTCGAGCCTCCGATTAGCACGGTTTGGCCACGTGCAGTGCGAAAGAAGTTCGACATACATAATACACACATCGGGGGGTATTTTTTGGCCTACCCTTTCACACTGGCCAGACGTCTCAGAAGAGGTTTGGCTACCCACATTTTACCTCGCCACATGCGAGCTGAAAATCGAATAACTGCAGTCTACCCATTTTTACTGCTGGGTGGATAGAGTTGGCGAAATGTTCCCATTTATTCAATTACCGTGCCAAAAGATCGAACCAGCAGACTGGATCGCAAGTCCCTTGTGCTAACCATTTTCATCATGGCAGCATCCCATATTTACTTCATACTGTATATGAATAATGAGCAGAGAGGAAATCTCATCGCCTTGCAAAATTGCATGCATTTCTTGTACATTTTTGCCTATGGGTCTTCTAAACTCATACTTTCCAGCAAACATTTGATTAATCCGGAAAACTCTGGACTGGTTTCAACCTTCTGTGTTGCATCGGTAATAAGGTTTGTTAAAAGATTCCTGTTTTTTTTGCCAGATTTGTTTCTTGCGCAAAAGAATATACTGTCGAGAGTTTTCATTTAATATATAATCTTCATAAAGTTACTTTTATTGCATTTTAGCTTATTTTTACCAGCTTGGTGAAGCACAGTCAAATGAAATCTCCCATTGTTAGGGCAGTCTGAAGAGCAACACTTGGATTGTGTATACATTGAACGTAGCCAACCGTGCTAATCGGAGTTGTAAAGAATATACCAGAAGGAAGATCTTTCCAGACGGCCGCAGAAGCGCATCTGAAAGTGCGCGCGATGCGGTGACCGTCTTTGTTCGATGGCGAGCCAAAAGCTGCTGCGAGGATGACCGGAGTTCGTGTGATGGTTTTTGCCCCTTGACGAGAATCAGCAAGGTATCGTGGTTCATTTTGTGGCAAACACTTTTTGTGTAACGCGTGCGCCCTTGTAACGTATTTGTTCGGCAACCGAAAGCCCAGTGCTTCTCGGATTAGAGAACATAGCAAGTTGACGACGTCGTCGGGTATAGCAAAAGCAGGCTTGGGGCAGGACACGACCCGTAGAATGGATGATGGCCAGTGGTCGAGACTAATGAAATAGTAGCAGCTAAAGGTGGGAGCACGCCTTTGGAGATAAGAGTCACCAGATCGACTCGCCTACCGGAGCTAGATGGATTGTCGCATTGTGAGACGGCGAGAGACGGTGATGGCTTTTGGGAAGGCCTTCATCTAGCAGTGGGTAGAACGTGGCTGGTGTTAACCTTTTTGACTTCTTCAATAAGGCACGATCAATGAACACAGGTTGACACACGAATCGGTTAAATGTGTGTCTTAATGTAAGGAAACCCCGCTAGAAGGGTCCTCTTGTAAGTCAAGGAATATGCTCGTGAGCAGAGTATGGGGCTGGCGTTGTGGCTTCTAGCCAAGAATGAAAACGTTTACAGCCCTTTCCATTTCAACTTCACAATTGGAGGCACACTTGACTAAAAGTAACTCCAAGCAGTGGAACTAAACACGTGAAATTATTTAGAGGTATTTAACAGTCTTTGGATCGGTACACGGTCGGTGGATGTTTGGAATGACATTGCCAGGCACACATTCCAGTTAGCGGTTACACTATTAGCTATGTATCAAGCGTGTGTTAATATTTTAGCAGTACACGATTTCCCTACATATATACACATCAGTTATACCTTGACCACAAAAGGATGCTCCTCGATTTATTGTTGTACAGGTTCTTTTTTTGGGTTAGATCGCGTAAAAAATATATGTATCGTTAAAACCCGCCACCACCCGACACAGCCAACTTGTAAGGGTTGTCACGTTTCAGTTTCATTTATTTGGTATGGCCCTGTGAGCCATTCGGCTCTTGAATCGGGTGCAACTGCAACAAAACAAAAAAACATGAACAAGAAAACATCTTAAAGTGACTATGTGACTGCACAAACAGAAAAATCCAGGATAAAACTGCAAAGTCTTCCAGAAAAAAAAAAACGTGGCCAATTCGTCACTAGTACAGCACAGCGGTGTGTTGGAGAGCCAAGCCACAACATTAACAATTTGAGTACGACGTTTCGCCAGTAATTGCAACTAGCTTCATCAGGCGACAACCAGATTTGTGGAGAAGTCCACCTGATTCGTTCCTTATATAGAGGCGTAGATGTGGTGTCCACGCTTCTGCGCACTTGCACAATGTGGGGATGGGGGTGTTACTGAGGCAACGTACATTATGCATGTGCATTATGCACGTGCATTATGCGAGCCCTTTAAACTTGCCTTCCTGTCTATTGTGTTGGGTGGTGGCGAGTTTTAACGACACATTTATACATTTACGCATTTTAACCCCCCCAAAAAACCTCTATTTTGGATATTGGTCGCGAAAGCCTGCGTGTTACACTGTACAGGTGCTTTACTCTTTGGTTCTTTCGGTAAAGTCACGTTGGTATAAAATGAAATAAAATTTCCCGACGTGACTTTACCGAAAGAACCAAAGAGGATGGATTCCTGCAGTCACGAAAGCTTCAAAGACTGTGTACAGGTTATGTTCGCTTGGCACAACAGAAGGAGTTGTGATCAATTTTAAAACCTGTTACTCGTTTCAGGCCGAGTCGTCCAGAGGGAGGGAGGCCCACAGCAGTTTTCATGCACCAGTTGTCATTTGTATGCAGTACCAGCAATCGGAAATATGTCAATAGGACCTTCTTCTACTGCCATATGCATGCACGCAAACCACACTCTACAAATATACAAACAGTGTGGCTCTCCAATCCGTTTTCGGATTGTGCTGTTGTTCGTTACGATGTCCGACGTTTCTCCCCACGTGCCGTGTGTGCGCTGCAATGGGGGGGGGGGGGTGGTTATCGAGGCTGCGATATAGAACACTCGGACGTGTTTTTGAGAGCCGAGAAACACGCGGCACAATCCGATGGCACGTCGGAGAGCTGCGCAGCACAACCGTGGACACCTTCACAGTGGTAGTATCCAATCGGTATGCTTGAGTTGTTGTTGTGGAGACTGGGCGATCATTCATCGATGTTCGGTCGCCAGGTTGTTGTGGGCTGCGTTGAAGGCCGCCATTTTCCGCTCCTGTGTATGTATCTTGAACTTATTTTGCACCGTACGTAGCCAGCCGTGCTCATCGGAGGTGCTCCTGATGTAATTATCTGGCTCCAACGCCTCAATACAAACTCATTGTTGTTGCTTCGCATCAATATCAGCGGCACGAAGAAGAAGAAGAATACGTTTGTGTAAATTAGAAACACTTTTCAAGGCAACACTCGTGTGTGTAACCTTGTGAATCGCCCTCTTGCTAAGCGTCGCTTCCTCGGCAGACGGATGTGCGCGTAACGATTGGCAGCTCTAATAGGTGCAGCATACGCTGTGGTGACGTTTGTGTTTATTAGGAGCATGCAGCTGTAGTTTTCCTTTAGCCATGTATGGTGTTGACGTTGAAGAGAGCTGTCTTATGTTGGGAGTTCTTTAAATGGTTTTTTTTTAATAGAAATTATGCTTTTGCCCTTCAACATTGTATTTTACGTGATTGAAATGCAGCTTTCATGTGTGACTGTGAATTACCATCGTCGCACATTTGGCTTCAGTCTTTTGATAATTTAGGGCAGTCAAAGCAACTTTAACCTTTCCTCATGTTGAAAGAATGTTTCCAGGATTCAGTCAGTGGGGGCTTCATGTAAGTTGCAAATCTCTGAGATATGGGACTCATTCTTTTGAATGAAACAAGGTTTGTGGTTGCCAATTGTTCACTTTTGTGAATGACATCTTAGTAAGGAGCCAAAAATATTTGCACTCAACATTGTTGATGCACACAAAGGTTTTGTTTTTACCATAAATGGGAATTGCTTTCTGCTAGTCATACAGGAGATTCCAAAACCGGTGAGTAATTATATATTTTGGTTACAATTTTTGCAAACAATTTTTTGCCCCTTCTGACAAATATCTGTCACGTCCTAAATGCAAGCGTTGTCCTATTAAAATACCAGGCGAAATATATTCCCACGCTAAAGACGTGTGTGATGGGATATTTCTCGGAAGAGAAAGCCTTCAGTAGTGCGCGTGAGAGAGACATCGACAGCTGCACATACAACTATGTCTGCATTGCAATGAAGGTTACTGTTGAGCCTCGTACATTTCCACTCTGTTATCACATTACAGTGAAAGCAGTTCCATATTATTTGATTGTGCCCCGCACCGGTGATTCTAGTAAAGAGCCACTGAAGAGAAAATACCGTTCCTGTTTTAGTTAATGGTTAAAACAAATTGGCTCGTAGAAATGATCTTATTAATTTCAGGGAGTCACAATATTTATACGCAGAGTTCAATGAAGCGCGTGACACCAGCTTCATCGCGCCGCGTTTTGTCACACTAAATAATGTGCCATTGTACTCTTGGTTCTTTCGGTAAAGTCACCACGTAGAAGGGAAACAATAAAATAATAAAAAATATAAAGCGATAAAATTATCACGACGTTTCGACTGCAACGCAAGCAATCATCATCAGGTGTGAAAACCACAGCAAGAAAGTTTGAAAAAAGTGGCGGTTATTTTTTTCAAACTTTCTTGCTGTGGTTTTCACACCTGATGATGATTGCTTGTGTTGCAGTCGAAACGTCGTGAGAATTTTATTGTTTTATATTTTTATTATTTTATTGTTTCCCTTCTACGTGACTTTACCGAAAGAACCAAGAATATGAATCCCTGCAGTCAAGAAAGCTTTAAATAAAAAAATAATGTGCCATTGATGAGTAGTTTTCTGCCATGCCAGTAAATATATAACCACATGTACTATCATGCACAAATCTTGACTTAAAGCTTTCGTGACTGCAGGAACTCATATTCTTTGGGTCTTTCGTTAAAGTCACGTAGATAGGTTGTGTTGCGATCGAAACGTCGTAGTTTTTTGTCATTTTCTTTGAACCTATCTACGTAATTTTACTGAAAGACCCAAAGAATATCATGCACAACTTAATACTTCATGATCTTTGTGTGCGTGTGTGTGTTTGTTTTTTCCAGGTCAGTTTCTGGGTAATTCGAGAAATACTTGAAGCACAAACTCTCAAAATCAGAGCTGAAATTTTGAGCCACTTCATCAAGATTGCCAAAGTGAGACCTTTTAACCCACAAGCAAAGATGCACATTGATTTAGTTTTGTCTTTGGGTGACTTATTTAATTGTACACCTTTATTCCACATTGCCATGATCACTAAAATGTTGATTATCATGAGATGTTTGAAATCCACTGTGAACTCAAGGCATTATTGCCAAATCCACAATCAACATTCACCTAAGCATGTAAAATGATATAATGTCATGTGGGGTTGTGATTCACTCCATCTCCTCATTGGTAGAACTTTTATGAGCTTTTACCATTTTGGTTGCTTTTTCTACCAGCAATCTTCTTCGACCTTTATCTCATGTGGTTATATGTCTTTTACGCAAGTACGTGTTTTTATTAATGGTCAATACCATTCATAATACATTGTTGGCTATGCGTAAATAAGAATGCAGAGCCGTGGGATGAGATTTACATATTAGATTGATTTAATCATTGTGTTTTTTGCCCCTTTTCCCTTGACTTCAGTTGTCAGGGAGACATCCGCCAGTCTTGAATGTGCACCACACCGTCAAGTGAACTGAGCCCCTTGACACCCACCCATGTCCTGTGTATGTGCGCCGATGTAACTAGTGATGTCTCTCGAAATGCTCTGATGTTGACATGAAAATGCCTTGCCCTCTAACTCTGTTGCAGAAACTTTACGAGCTAAATAACCTCCACGCCCTCATGGCAGTCATCTCCGGCCTCCTCAGCGCTCCCATCTTCCGCCTCAGTAAAACGTGGGCGGTAAGTGGCCGCCACACCTCTCTCATTCAACGGAAAACACCTTACAGTGTTCATCAGTCTATCTGGCCTCTCGATGTACCATTGCCCAACAAACACCTATTATTATAGATATTTTTTTTCCTTCTGAGGCGATATTGTTGGCAGATGTGTTGCATTTATGTTGTTTGTGCTCATGCACCACACAGTATCACAATATTTATAGTGTTAGTTCCATTACACTGTATATCATGCTATGAAGAAAAAAACATCTATGTCTTGAGTTTCCTGGCTGACTGCTGGCTGGGATCCTGTCCACCCCAACGATAACTCTGTTTTTTATTCTAATAACTCCGTTTTTATTCTAAAAACTCCGTTGTGAGCAGCTTGTGGGCCACTGCCACTGAAATTAGCTGGGTAACTGGCTAGATTAAATTGTTTTTTTTTCTGTAAAAAATAAACATTGCATTGAAATGAAATGGAGGAAGAAATTCAGAAGACATAATCAATAGCAACACCGAAGAGGTGGGAGTGATGAATAGAGAACACTGATACAGTTAATTTAGAATGACTCTAAATTTTTAATTTATGCTCCTATTAATGTGTTTTTTTTTGACAGAATATTCTTTAAATCTTAGAGGATTTTTTTAAAAAAAACCCACAATACATATCATCTTGGCATGACTTTCAGAGCTCCTGAGTAAAGGATTGTTGAGAACAAATATGACAGTTACAGCTGTCTGTTATTTTCTGTCACAGAGCAAAAGGGTTCACTACGAATAATGTATATCAATAGTTGAAACTTACACAAAATTCTTAAGACGGTTTGTTTGCAGTGGTGCGCAGGCAGGAACACAAATAATCACCACGTTCAACGTTAACACTGCTCCATGTGCCTTACACTGCCCTAAGAGGGTGTGCGGGACATTGTTTATCCCTGCATCGCGATATTTCTCACTTAACCTTTCACGTCTTATTGTTTCCTCCCCACCCCACCCCCCCCCCCCCTCTATATTTTTCCATGTTCTCGTGGTTTTTTGTTTTGTAAGGCACTTTGAGATACCATGGCATATAAGTGCTAAGTACATGAAAATCCTTCCCTCGCCTTAGCTTTATTGCAGAATAAAGTATAGAGTGGGCTCATGTTGCTGGTAATGGCCCTTCTTGAAAGCAGAGAGAGAGAGAGACAGAAAGGTTGACAGAATTGTAACTAGTTGAAATTGCACCGTACTCTACACTCTGGGGCCCTGAGACAATAATTGGGAGATATCTTTTGTAACAAAAAAAAGTTTCTATTTATTCGATATAAACAAGGACTGTGTTAAGTCATAATTAAAATAATTGCTGCATAATGTTATTTTTTTAATATTGATGCAACAGAGAAATGACTGTTGTGATAACACATACAATACATTGTCGGTGTCAAAGACAAACGTGATTACAATTTGTGCGTGAATTTCCACCTTAAAATGTTGTGAGGCAAACATTAGCCTCCCAAGACTCTCCCTACCTGTCGGAATTGTCCACATTTTTTGCCAGTGAAATTGTCAAACCTGCAGCACTTGCCAAGAAGAAAGAGTTAGGATGCCTTCTCTGTCACATAGAAGTTTGCACATTAAAACGCTGCTTTTATAGTGATAATCATGTTTCCCCATTTAATGCCTTGTGCTTGGAAACTTTATGGGTATTTACCACATCTGTAATTTGACAGCCACGCATCATCATGTACATCCTGGCAATCCATGGTTGTATAAGGGCCTCCTCCATACTGTGTGGGTCTTGGGGGTTATTTGACCATACTTCACCATAAAACGTAGTTTATTGCAGCTAATACAATTGCCCGTATTTGTTTTTGATTTAGGCCACCTAGTAGTAATTTTTTTAATAACAATAATTTCAATATAAAAGTACTACTCTGTGGCTTAACTCATCAGAAAACTTGGAGCATATTTGACCATTCTTGCGAGTGCTGTTTCAGTGAAGGCAGGGAGCATAGACTGGAGCATAGTACAGTTCAACAATTGCGTTTGCCGCATTGCCCTCTGCTGACATTGTAGCCCTGCAGCCGCCTACATCACCTGTTTTACGCACGTGGTCGCCCATCCACTGTCCAGGCTAAGCCTGCTTAGCTTGCTAGGTCCAATGCAGCTTCTCACCCTGTATGGCAACCGAGAGCTGATGAGATTGCGTACAATTCCGGCTGATTTGGTCAGAGGCGCTACATCATTAGAAACGCTACATATACTTTTTCTCTTTTTCTTCCTTTGTGAAAACAATTACGTTTCTGTGTCAGAGAGACCGCCCTTTGCGTGTGCGCAGACAGATTGTGTTTATGAGAGCCACCTGCTGCCTCTGTGCCGCTGTCGTGTTCGTGTTCGTAGCTACAAGGAGACTTTCTCTCTCTCTCTCCCTCCCTCCATTTGATAAAAAAAAACTGCAAACATCCGTTTGTGAAAGAAAAGCTTAGAGTAATAAACAAACTGTGAAAGAATAATTGTAAAAGGGAAGGCATTACACTGACAGGAAATTATTTAATGTGAGTGGCATTTCGTCCACAGCTGAATTGACAAATAACCCACACAATTGCAGATGTAATGGGTCAGATAAAATGTGTTTTTTGTTGCTGTCCACAATCTGCACAAACCTGGAAAAGTTTATCATTCTTTTAGACTTGCTTTGTTGTGAAATGCATTGTTCTAAATGCGAGTGTGAAATGGGGAAGATTTTTATATTCTTACTTTTTTTAAGTTGTAATGATAACCTAGCTACATATGACAACGGGAGTTCATAGAACACTGACCGAGCTAAAGTTTATTATGGTTTTAATAATAGACCAGCCATGAATTTTTTGCACGGAATACATAACTCCTTTGATCTATCTAGGCGTTCACATTATAGTCCTTAATTTTGGGTATTGTTAAGCATCCAGTGGGAATTCATTGATGAAATTAAATAATGAGAAATTAAGCTAAATAATCTCTGTAAAATTTAACTTGTGTGGAACTAAAGACTTGCAAACAAAATACAGGACACCTGAATATATGCAGCTGCCCTGTTTTTAATGTTACTATTTGTCTAAGTTTGTCAAAGATCTTGTTGTATTTGTCAGCGTTGACCCATTGTCAAGCAGGAATTTAGCCCTTGGCTTTTGAATATATTTCCACGTTTTACTGGAAAAATGTGCTCAAATAAACACTGTGTGTGTGTATATCACATTGAACTTCAGGTTTTAGGGTTTGAAACATTAAAATCTGAACTGTTAGGATTAAAACCTTTGTGATTTACCACGTATTTACCTGTGTCAAATAATTCTGCTGTGACTTTTAAGTAGCTTCTTGCATGGTGAATCAACTTGGTATATAGTTGCAAAGCTTTTGCATTCTTTCTTATTCTTAGCCATGCACATACTTGGCATATTGGTGGAGAGTAGTTTACAAAAGCATTGACTTTTGGATGAGTTGTATTCTCAATTTCAGCTGATATTCTTCTTTAGGGTTATCCAGCCAGATTTGTCATGTGCTATGAAATTGAGGGTTTTATTTTTGTATTTTATCGGAGATTAAGTAATCCTCATTATAATGGACCATTTGTATATGTTACATCCAAAACCTTTTGTCTATCCGCTGCTGGGTTAGGGCCTGCCCACCCTGTGTAGGTCGCGGGGTCTTTTGACCAAACTCCATGCTGGACATTGCAGGTAGCGTGGTGGATGTGGGAGTATGGTATAATGCTGCGCAACAATAGATCATCGTACTTTAATACACTTTAATGGAATAATAATGTGTGTATCATGCACGATATCACATGATCAGTGTTGGCCAAGGCCTTGGATAAAGTTGACGAATCAACTATACATCATTGGAGTAGAGCCTGTAGTTTGGTCTGTATGTGTGTGCAGATTCCGTTCACTAATGTCTGCCTCTTGGCCCCTCGCTACCCCTCCCTGCCTCTCCACTGCCCAGTGCCTGAGCCGAAGGGACAAGGCGACCTTCGATAAGCTCGACTACCTGATGTCAAAAGAGGACAACCACGCGCGATTGAGAGAGTACATCCAGAGCCTCAAGATGACCCCCTGCATCCCCTACCTGGGTAAGCGCGTGACCTCGCGCGTCCTCGCGATGCGATCTGTAAACCACCGACGCGTAACGATTTCCTATAAACCGTCGCTTGCTTTTTTTGTTGTTGTTGCATTGACCAGGGCCCCCCCCCCCATAGTTTAGATCAAGTGCCCTTTCCGAAAACATCTGGTAGTTGGGACGCATTTGTTCACCAAGCCTGACACCACCGATGAGAGAGACCATGTAGGTCGAAACCGGTGCAGGGTTTGCTCGTCCAAACAAATGCTAAAGTCACGTAGAAAATTTTCTTGCTGTGGTTTTCACACCTGATGATGATTGCTTGTGTTGCAGTCGAAACGTCGTGAGAATTTTATTGTTTTATATTTTTATTATTTTATTGTTTCCCTTCTACGTGACTTTACCGAAAGAACCAATAATATGAATCCCTGCAGTCACGAAAGCTTTAAATCAAAATTCAAACATGCTGTTGAATAATATTGATCTGAAAAGCCGATCGGAAAATGGACTTAAAATATTTGTTTATTCGTATGTGGAGACAGATTGAGGTCTGCTCATATTTCCTTGAGAGCAGTGTTTCTCAAACTCTTTTGGCCCACGGACCACTCAGCCGATGCCAACCACCCAGCCCCCCGCACGTGGTGACCGAATGCATTAACGTCTCTCTCTGTATGCCAGAAATACAAAAGGATTCGTATTACTAGAACAACTTTTTTTTTTAACGCAGCTCAAAGGTTGTTTAGAGGGGGGCGGGGCATAGGCATTTACATCTTAGAGCTAGGGTAGTTTACCTAACGTCATTTAAAAATGAAATATCATGAGTAAAATATGAATTGACGTCCAAAACAAAAGGTTAAAAACATTGACATTATTGGCCAGATCAACATGTGTTTGCATCAAAGCCCCGCGGGCCACCTGGAGGAGCGTCGCGGGCAACCTAGTGGTCCAGGGACCACACTCTGAGAACTACCGATGTAGACCACCAGGTTGACCTAATAGAGCATCAAAGTGCATTACAGATAGTGTGCATGTGTAATGACGACTTGACACGCTTCTCTTGAGATGGCACTTTGTTGAAGACACGTTCACTTGACATCAGGCGAAGACCCCCACTGCAACAGCCCCGAGTCTCCCGCGCATCTCCCTTGTATATGAACCTTCTCGCTGACTCTGGACGCTTGCTCCACCGGCATACTCTACCGTCCTCTTCCGTCACCTGACCACGCTCCCTTCTCGAACTTTCCCGTAGCCACCAGTCCCTTCGCACTGACAGCTGACACCCTTGTCATTACCTCCCGTGGCCACTAGTGCATTCGCACTGCAGTCTGACTCTCCTGTCATTGCTTCCTGTGGCCACTAGTCCACTCACAGCGTATGTAGGCTCTACTGTCGCTACACATGTATGTATGTTGAACTTCTTTCGCACTCTACGTACCCAACCATGTTAATCGGAGGTGCGAGATCAATTGCTGCTGCTGCTAGTTTTGTGCTTTCCATAATTGTACGTACATGCATATGTAACTATGTTGTATGCAATAGTCAGGAATAAGGCAACTATTATGCACATTGTGTGTGTCCCAGAGTGTTATCATATTGCTCATCAGTGTAGACCATGCTGATAATATAATTACAGTTATGATTACAGAACGCCTGAATGTGATCGCATCTCATAACGCTGTGCATGCTGCTCGTTCTTGGTTTATATTGCACTTTATCTACAACGCAACCAACGATTTTATTTAACTGGTCCATTACACGGGGTTCACAATGTTTATCCCCTGAGGTTATTGCAATGTCGGCTGGAATCCAAGTGATGGATGAAATGTGTGTACCAGCAAATAGAAAATGTTTGTTTAAGGACAGTCACGTGACATTGGATTCACAGTAAAGTGCGTTCTACGAAGCGGATCACTGTGAATACGTTGCAGTGCTGATACACGAAATGGGGCTTTTACATCAGTTTCCACATGAGGTGAAAAAAAAGTTAATAATAGTAGATGTTGTGATTATAATGATGTCTGCTGCCACAGCCAGCATTTCATTTAAGGGCTGGCTGAGCAAACATCTCACGTATTAGTTCTCAGTAGCTTTACATCTTTTTTTTCCCCCTCGGTCAATGCCTTCATCCTCAAAACCTTTTACCAGAAAAAAAAAACCCCACACACATAACAAAAGCAACAGGACATTTTCCATCCTGTTTTTATTTTCCCAACTCTTGAATACGATTGGGACACCCGAGCACATATGCACATCTGCTGCAGAATCGTAGATGTTCGTCGCTAGAGTTTGGAGTTCGCTCACACGGTGTTCCAGAAACTGCTTAAGCGTTTTTTTGTCTTTCGTGACGTGCGGGGGAGCCCGTCGGGACCGACCTGCTCTCAGTAATCGCTCGGCTCGTTTTTTGTAAGATTTGACCCATACGTCGGCGTTGCCCTGGCCGTACGACTCCTCGTGTCTACTATACTCCCGAACGCGAGAAACCCCTCGCATTCGGTGCACGCGATCATCGGCGCCCGCAGCACAATAAGCATCCACCCTGGCTGGCTTGGCACGGGGCCAGGGGCTCGTCGAGGGCTAGTGTAGGTGAGGTTTCTCAGTGGCAGCAAGGGAAATCACCTTCTGGGGAGGAGGTGGGGGGGGGGGCATGGGGGGCAAAGGAAAGGGGAAGTGGTAGGCGGTTGGAGCGGACGAAATAGTGAGAGGTGTGTAGGGGGGGGGGGTATAGGGTCAGAGGGGGTGGACAGGGGGTGCCGAGTGAGATGGGGAGAAGCAGTGGCGGCAGGCAGTGCTGTTGTTCACCGCGCTGCTTTGCTGTTGCACACAGTCCGCATGTGTTATGCCTTTGCAAAGGAATTCTTGTGTGTTTTTCGGGGGAGGGGGATTAACATGCGTCAGAATTTTCCCCTTGTCGCTTTTCTATTGAAAATTTCAGTGTCTGGGAGGTTGTGGCAAAAGAGAAGTACATGCCGGGGAAAAGTCTCTAACTTCGCTCTGGGAAATCTGTTGCATATGAGTGAAAAATTTCGTTTGAAATTTTAGACGCCTTGAGACTTTTCTGTCACAAAGCTTTTAGCCTCTAATAGTAAGGGCACCCACAGGTGCGGTGGCTTTAAAGTACCGCAGTGTGACACGATCCTTAGTTTGAAAGTTCCAGTTTAGTGCTTTGTGAAATGTATTTTGTAGATTATCTTTCTATTTTACACACGTGCCTAATAATTTCACGAGGATTTTATACATGTATAGTTGTGGTAGTGGTAAGTAAATCAAAGTATAGAATTGATCTAATAATTATAAATATGGATTGTTTTGATTGAATGGAAGATGCTTTTTTTATAGTCACCATGAAACTAATTAAATTCGTAGACTGGTATATAGTTCCAAACAAAAGCGGCCCTTTAAAGATCAAATAGAAAGCAAACCCATGGTGTAATCTGAATGCTGCTCCATTGATTGATAAGTTTACCCCGCCATACACACACAACGTATGCCAATGTAAAGAGCTTGACCGGTTTAATTCCAAACGGTTCAAATAGCTATGTGCTTAGCTGTTGAATGTGGCTCGAATTCAGGCAGGCACATTTGGGTGCAGCACAAAAACGAGTGTTGGTCCCGTGTCATCATCGTTTCCACCTCCCTGCCGCTGGGAGATCATGCGCGACGTTCCGCCCAAGGTATGTAAATCTGCGTGTCTGCCGAGTAGGACCCGTATATGTTGATGGGGGCACGTGAAAGAAAAGAGGATTTGAGCTCTCGATACAAAAAAAAACACGTTTTCGCCACCATCATCACTGTCATCATCATGCGATTATTTGTGTTGTCGGAAAAGTTTTTTTTATTTGTTAGCTGCATGCGCAGCCCCTTTTGTCAATCCACTGCTGGATGAGGGCCCTCCCCACGCCTTGCGGGTCGCTGGAGTTTTTCGACCATACTTCACCACACTAGCCAGCATGGGTTTGTTGAAGATGGGGGGAGCCTTATGCACATATTTCACCTGGATAAGCCTTTCAGATGGCACATCTCATTTTGCAAACGCGTCCAGTGTCAGTCGTTGGCACATATGTTTGGAGATATCGTTCTTGCAGTTATTTTTTTTAAAGAAGAGAACAGATGTGCACTGTGAAGCCTGTGAAACTGAGTTCAGTTCCTGGTCATGGCTAACATCTGTGGCGAGTGATATTTTAACCATGTGATTTATGAGATGAGCATTGATGCACCGCCTCGTGATTCAAAGACTTGTCATGATACGGCGTTGTGATTCGATTCAATAACACATTATATGCATAGCAATTCGGTTCATTGACGTTGTCGGTAGTGGCTTGCAGAGTTCACATGAACGAATCGCATGTGTTCATTAGCAATTAAATAAAACATTCTCATCTACATGGTTCCTTGCATGTGTAGTGAGACTAAGAATCGGTTTTCATTCTGTGGAATTAATTGTGTGCACATTTATTTCTCACGCCACTCCAGAAGGAGCTTTAGAGACATCTTAGAAAAGGTGGGAGTACCCACGCTTTACCCCACCACATGTGACCTGCACATGGTATACTTATTTATACTGCTGGGTGGGGAAAGGTGGAGGAGAATTTAGAAACTTGTGGTGAATTATATTTCACGTCAAAATGTTTTTTCACGTCGATATTTAGAGCCTCATAGCTGTACATTTAAGAAGCAATTCTCAGGTATCTATAATCTTACAATCCTCACTGTTAGGAAAACATGCGTGGAGATATAGTTTTTAGTCATATCCTGTTTATTTCCATGCAACACTTGTTTTTATAGTTAGTTTCAATGTTCAATACTCAAACAGAATGCGTCGTTGCAGATACACTTTCTGCCGATAAAAAAAAATTGATTGCCAAAATTGCTTATTTCCATCCGTGATCTAGCCGCCTGTGTTACCGAGACGTTTTCAATTTTAATGATTGTGGTAGTTAATAGAGCCACACGGCTGTGCCATGGGGAAACTCTGCAGCGTCTACAGGTGGAAAGCATTTGGCCAGAGTGGAACAC